TATAGATCCTTTGTTACTTGCATTTTGGGGATTGTACAGGTAATCTGGGCTTGGAATAAGCTATTAAATTATCTCTGCCTTTTCCTATAGTATTTATCACCGACAAGATCTCCAGCTTTTGTCTTCAAGTGGCCTTACAGATCTTACACCGCAGATCACCTCAGCATTGTGCCCATCTCTGTGATGCTGTGATTGATTACCTGAGTTCTCGGAATTCTTCAGCAAGTGGCAGGTATGATCAAGTCTTCAGGAGTAACCAAAGCTGGGAATGTCATGTGTGATGAATGAGATGATGTAGTTAGTGTAGCTATATTTCTGGATGAAGTTCAGACTCTTTGGTCTTGTTAATATTTCTTGCTGGGCAGTGATGCATGACTTTAATCCCAAGTACCTGAGAGGCACAGTCTCACTCCTGCTGGCCTCAAACTCACAGAGATCCTCCTGCCTCTGTGTCCCAGGTATTGGGATTAAAGGCCTGTATTACCTATACCTGACTTAGTTTTATTTTAAGATTTATTTTTATTTTATATTTATGAAGTTGTGCCTACATGTATATATGTACACAACGTGCGTGCAGGGCCCTCGGAGGCTGGAAGAGGGTGTCAGAACCTCTGGAACTGGAGTTGGAGGTAGTTGTAAGCTGCCTTGTGGGTGCTGGGAACTGAACTTCTTGGGTCCTCTGTAAGAGCAGTATGTGCTCTTAACCGCTGAGCCAGCTCTCAGGCCCCAGTCTCCTCCTTCATCCATGTGTGACACAGTCTCACTATGTAGCCCCAGCTGGCTGGGAACTCACTATCTAGACCAGGCTGGCCTTGAACTCACCTGCTTCTGCCTCTTGAATCTAAGATTAAAGATGTGCACCACCAAGGCCAACTTTTTCAACAATGCTTTATTGTATGAGCGTTTTGCCTGTGTGTATGCACATGTTCCACGTTTGTGTAGGAGCCAGTGGCAGGCGGGCAGCGAGGGCCTCTTGGTCCAGGCCCTCCGCAGGGACAGTGATACTCTTAAGCAGTGAGCCATCTCTCTAGCCCAGTCTCGCTCTTCTCTCCTCCAGCCCTCTACTCCTGTTTCTTCGGGACCAGACGAGCTCCAGACTCCTGGAGCAGGTGCTGCTGGTATTAGAGCCCGTGCGGCTCCAGCGCCTCTTTGAGGACCACTTCCAGGGCCAGCTGCACTCCTTGGCCGCTCATCCCATTGCTAACTTCCCTCTGCAGCGCTTACTGGATGCAGTCACTTCCCCTGAGCTGGTGAGTTGGAAATGTGGCCTGGTCTCTTTCTGCTATCCTTAATCATTGGGCCTTATTGATTGACTGATTTACTTATTTACATATTTATTTGGTTTTTCGGGTTAGGGTTTCTCTGTGTAGCCCTGGCTGTCCTAGAACTCGCTCTGTAAACCAGGCTGGCCTTAAATTCACAGAGATCTGCCTGCCTGTCTCCTGAGTGCTGAGATTAAAGGCGTGCATCACCACTAACCAGCTTTTGGGCCTTATTTTATTGAGTGCTTGTCTCTGTGCTTCTCTGGCAATTTACTGCCCATTGCCCATGTCAAGTTATTCTCAGGACTTTTCCAGAAATTAGGGTGGAGGTGCCCTTCTAGAGATTTGTTTTAGCTTCTCAGGTCTGATTACCTGTCCTCTTAATTGAATTTTACAGCTAGAAGTTCGGTGGCTTCTTGTCTGTTAACCCACAGGGGCCCTGAAGCCATTGCTTAGCTTCTCTTTTCCCCTTTTGCCTATGATGGGGGTGGGGGATGGAGGGTGTCCCGTGGCCCCTTGGGTTGACACATGGAGTAGAATGGCGGATTTAATTCTAGACTTGCTTTGCCTTGGTTCTCCTTGACTTCTGCAGAAGGAACATTTAAAATCTTCCCCTATAGGATAACACATCTATGACATCTCTTCTGGGTTTTACACAGCACAGTGAAAGTTCTGATGTTGGCAATGGTTTTTATGTCTTATCTAGCTTTTTTTCAGTAGGAAAAATGTTCTGATTAACTTAGTAACCATTAATTGAAGGTCAACGATTCTTCAATCCCTGTTTCCTCTCAGCTGTCCCTTGTGTTTGAGGAGCTGAGCCCTGCCTTGGAAGCTGTGCTGGCCCAGGGCCACCCAGGGGTGGTTGTTGCTCTGGTGGAAGCCTGCCGCAGGGTTGGGACTCACCAAGCCCAGGTCTTGCAGCTGTTAATGGAGGTGAGGTGTTAACCTATCCATGCCCTTCCTTGATCTCATTCTGCTAGTTAGAATTTGTCTAATGTGGATGTGAGGTTTAATGTTGAGGGAGTTATAGATAGACAGATGAGTCCAAGAACAGCCCTGAAATGCAGTTGATTCTCCAGAACTTAGAGAACTTGGAGAGGTAAATGTGGATTCAGTCCCCACAAGTGCAGAGGCTGGAGACAGAACAAGGCTGATGAGATTCTGCTCTCCCTCGTGTCCTTTGCTGTTGGGTTAGACCTCCCTCTTCTTGAACATTCTGTCTGGAACACCCTTGTGTTGGGGATGGGATAGTTCTTGAGAGTCTTTATGTTTTGTCTTGCTGTGTAGGCATTCCACTGTGCAGAGCCCTCATCCCGGCAAGTCGCCTGTGTGCCTCTGTTTGCCTCTCTGTTGGCTTATGAGGTATACTATGAACTGACGGAGGAGGAGGGGGCGGTGCCTGCAGAGCATCAGGTAAGGTGGGAGGGGCCAGGCTTCTCAGTGCTTGACTAGCCCCTTGGGTTAGGTTTTTGAAGAGAAGGTGGCAGTACCCTAGGGACGAGCTCATCCATCTGGCCTGGTCACAGCCTCCTCATTTCTTATTACTGTCCTCCCAGGTAGAGATGGCCACAGCCAGAGCTCTGAGGGAAGTGACAGTGCTTGGGTCTCTACTGCTCCAGCACTTGCTGTATTTCTCCAACCCTGGACTTGTACTCCGGAGTCTGAGCGCCTTGACAGGACCTCAGCTCCTGGCTCTGGCCCAAAGCCCTGCTGGCTCTCATGTATTTGATGCCGTCCTGACCAGCCCCTCTGTGACACACAAGCAGCGTCGTCGTGTGCTGAAGACCCTAAAGGTTAGACTTGTGCTCTGGTCCCTCCATCACTGCTTTAGAGAAAACGGGTTTGTTCAGGGCTGGACCCGGGAGCTGGAGGCAGGGCACATGCGTAGTTCCTGTGCTGGTTGAACCTTGCCTCTCCAGCCTTCTGAAATTATCCCTCCACTCCCAAGACCCAGTTGCGTTCCTCTCCCGAGGGACTTGACTTGCTGTCTCAATGCAGGGGCAGTATGTGGCTCTTGCCTGTAGCCGCCACGGCAGCCGTGTCTTAGATGCCATCTGGAGTGGAGCAGCTTTGGGCGCTCGGAAGGAAATTGCTGCTGAATTGGGTGAGTACCACTGCCCCTGGGCGATGTTTGCAAACTCTGCCTTTTCCTGCACCCAGTAGCCGATTAGTTCAGCAGATATCAGAAGCATAGTCTGGTTCTGAGGTCTCAGTGGTCTGCTTTTGCCTCCTCTCTGCAGACTTGTGCAGTTCTTTATCTACCCTTACCCCTTTATCTGGCTTTTAATGGGTGAGGTGTTTTGTAGTTGGATTTTTTGGAGGGGCCACCAGTTTATAAATAATGACACCTGAGACTTATTAATTATGAAAGCTTGACCTTAGCTTAGGCTTGTTTTTAACTAGCTCTTATAACTTAAATTAACCCGTTTTTACTAATCTATGTTCTGTCACATACTGCCCATCCTGTTTCCTCCATGTCTCCTTGCCTCTCTCTCGAACCTAGATTCATCTCCTACTTCTCTCTCTGCCCAGAAGTCCTACCTATACCTCCTGTCTAGTTATTGTCTGTTCAGTTCTTTATTAAACCTGTCAGCAATATATCTTCACACAGTGTACAGATATCCCACAACAGCGTACATTTCAAGTCCAGGGTTGGAGGGAAATGGAGGGGCCTTCACTTCAAGTAGAATTTGTTTTTGAGCATGGGTGGTGATAAACACAAGTGGTTCTCTTTGCAGGAGAGCAGAACCAGGAGTTGATTCAGGATGCTTTTGGCCACCATGTGGCCCGAAATGTGGCCCTGACTACCTTCTTGAAGCGGCGACAGACTTGGGAACAGCAGCAGAGCGCTGTGGCCAAGCGGAGACGGGCATTGAACTCTATACTTGAAGACTGAGACCTCACGGCCTGGGAATAGTGTCGATGGGGGGGACAGGACATGCTTGTCCTTCCTGCTTTGAATCGGGAGTCCAGAGTCTTATTGGAGCAGATGTAGCAACACACACAAAACTGTAGTAACATAAACAAAACTGTAAGCCTGCCCTCAGAAAATTGAAACAAGAATATCAAGAATTCACTGGGATTAAAGGAGTGCCAACAAGGCAAAAAAAAAAAAAAAAAAAAAAAAAAAAAAACCAACATTTTGATGTACCAATGTGGGGCCTGTATTTCCTTGTAGGTCCTGTTTATCCCCATGTCCATCTGTCTGTACCAATACCCCTTCTTCCCCAGGCATACTGGTAAACATTTTTGTGTTTTTCTTTGTAATATTTTT